CACGCACGCTCACTCGCTCGCACTCACGCTCACACGCACGCACGCTCACTCGCTCGCACTCACGCTCACACGCACGCACGCTCACACGCACTCACGCTCGCTCACACGCACGCACACACGCATGCAGCACGTACCCGCAGAATGCTCCTTTGCAGTGCCCTTGCCGGTCCCCTGGTCCGGGGAAGCCTGCAGCCTGTTCACCCGTGGGTCAGCCAGCCTGCTCATCCTCGGGTCCCGCGATTGCCCTCTCTGCGGTGCTGCCACCTGGGGCGCAGTCTTCTTCACAACGGCCGGCAGCAGTGCTGCCACCTGTGGCGCAGCCTTCTGTCGTGCTGCCACCAGCGGTGCTGCCACCTGGGGCACAGCCTTCTGCGGTGTCGCCACCTGTTGTTCGTGATGCTCAGTCGCGCCCGTCGGTCGCGGACGCTGCGACAGCAGCGGCAGCAGGCCTTGCTGCGGCACGGGCTTCTGCTGGGAAGGTGGCAACACCTGCTTTGATGGCGGCGCCACCTGCTTTTGCTCAACGGCTGCTCCAGCTGGATTCTGTTCGGGTGCTGGAATCTTCTGAGTAGGAGGCGCCACCTGCTTCAGCGACGCCGAGTTGACCACAGTTGTCGCCGCGTCGGTCGCCGCACTGCTGCCACCGCCCCCGCCAGCAAGCTGCGCTTTCTGCTTGTGGGCAGCAATGTGCTTCTGCGCCTGCTGCAGCGCCACCTGCAGGGCTTCGACACACGGGTCGCGCGCCTTCTTCGGCGACTTTGTCTGCGGGACGGCGGCGGCAGCCGGCGGCGCCCCCTGGTGCTGCGATGCGTTACGATTGTGCTGGTGATGACTGTTCAACGAGGGCTGTGGCTGAGACGGCGAGTACTGAGTGTCAGCCCGCGGCTGCTGCTGCTGCTGCTGCTGTTGCTGCTGCTGCTGCTGTTGTTGATGGTGCTGTTGTTGCTGCTGTTGTTGCTGCTGCTGTTGCTGTTGATGCTGATGCTGATGCTGATGCTGCTGCTGTTGCACCATGTTAGCGCGCGCAGCCTGCAGGATATGTGCGGCGGCGCTGGCAGCCGGCGGCGGGTCATCGTGACGCGCCGCCGCCGTCGCTGACGACGACGTGTAATAGCTCGGGTACTGCTGCCGCAGGTCGACGTCGCCGTGAGGGTGCACCACCGGCGCCCCCTATAATGCACAGAGATGCACGCATCACGACGAGCAATCACCGGCCATTTCTCGTCGTCTCATTCTCGTACATAACAGTTGTTAATGCTTACCGAGGCTTGCATTGTAATGCTGTTTAATATATAATATGATATAATATAATATAAAAGCCACACGTGGACAGGTGCGTGCGTATGCATGTGTATGCGTAATGCAATAGTTGCTTAGTGGTTGCACAGACAAATGCTTCTACCTAGCTCCAAGAAACGGTATTGCTAGGGTTCGAATACCCGAACCATGTATATTGACGTTAGTCACACAGCCTGGTTGGGTTAGCTTCTACCTAAACACACGTTTGCATAGAACTCAAGACAGACTGTACATAATCGTGTTAGAGGTACGCGTGCCAAATTCTATTAACATCTTCTACATCAATCTTCGTCTTTTAGCCACACTGGCATGACTTCTTGATAAAATTTCCATTTTACTTCAAGTTTTAGAATAAATTTTAATTATTAAACTCATTAAAAAAAATATTACAGTTGAAATAGCTCAAAAGTCGATATATTGCCTGCACACATGGATGTACATTATAAACCAGGAGAGCTAACAATAACACACAAGGGGGCGTGTTATCTTGCTCAGACTAATTAAATTAGTCAATTCAGACAAACCTGATATCCACTGATCTGAGCATAATTTGCTTGCTGTTGCTGCTGCTGTTGGTAGTTCTCTGGTGGATAGTTGGCATATCCACTCTGGTAACCATAACCCTGGTTACCGTAGTTCTGTGATGCAGTTTGATACTGTCGAGAGTAAGTGTATGACCGCTGCACTTCTTCCCTTAGCTGCAACACGGAAAAATATTATTGCTACGTATATAAGTTCGAAATTAATTATGTACTAAATTACTTTATTACTTTCTGAACTTAAAACTAATGAATGTGATTTTTAAACGGCGTAGTCGCCTTGACATCACACGTTGTCGAAACTACTTCAGCTTCGCGAGCATGTGCGTGTAAAAAACACGTTTACAAGCACACACTGCATGTACGCTTACACACAGTCACGGGCCAACGAGAGTTCCACTATTCACGTCCACCCAACCCAACTACACGTGCATACACTGGAACACATGCACGCACACACGCGAGCAGCACACACACACACGCACACACGCGAGCAGCACACACACACACACGCACACACGCGAGCAGCACACACACACACACGCACACACGCGAGCAGCACACACACACACACGCACACGCACATGCACACGCACACACATTATAGGCATTTCCTGCCTACAGCCGCCTCTAGCACTTTGCTGTCTCTGTGAACAATAACCCTTTAGGGCATCGACGAGTTGAACCGATTTCACAAATTTTAATGGCAATTATTGATTTATGTAAATTACTCGAGAATTTACCTAATTAACATCCCCTACAGTTGCTTTTTTGCAGAATTCATTTTCTGAGCAGCAGCCAACCCCTGAGATAAAGACGACTAAGAAGACTAACTAAAACCATCCCATTACTGAAGACGCGATCAATTTACACAATAAGTCTGCGCAGAGACGCCGACTGCAAATGCCATCACTGCATTTCTCGAAAGCTGACGAGTACATCAGCAGGGTTCATAGTAGTAAGCCACATGTTGAAATAAGGACTTATAAGACCCTTTCTGGAGGCCAAAATAAGACTTTTTTACGCGATTTCTGATAGATCACCGACTATAAAAGTACACTAATAATATTTATATACACAATTGCACAGCAGATTTAATTATTCCGTATTATATATACAACAAATAATATTAAAAAATAAGGACTTTTCTAAGATTTTACCCCGCAAAATCGATAGCTAATTAAGGAGCCCTTATTTTATTTTTTGGCAAAAATAAGTCACTTATAAGGACTTTGGAAGACCGCGCTACGAACCCCTGATGGCAGTCACGTGAAGTGGCATGCCACTCCCCAACAAATAACGCCCGACTTTCCATGACGTATCAACACACTCGTACCACATTCCGTTTCTTTATCTCGCGAGAAGCTCTGTAGGCTCGATTACCACAAACGGCAAATACATGGATCAGTTTTGCAACGCATGCCCTTCTCATCAATTGAGCGAGAAGATAAGCGTCGGGCCCACGTTTGCATGCTTGGGCCAATGTTACACGCACTGGCAGGGGCAACATGCAAGCTGCCATCGCTGCCTCTCTGTCCCTGCTTTTCAACCCCCATCGCTGCCACGCGCCGACCCGAGGGCATATATCAAACCATCGCCTGCGCGCCGCGCGCACTGTCTGCGTCGATCTACTGCATTACCCCCCCCCCCCCTCCCCGCAGCCGCATTCGCATTGCTGCAGCTCCGCAGCTTCACATCTCGAGAGGGGGGCGGGGGGGGGGGGGGTATCTAAGTCGAAGATGAAATGGCAAGAAACGCATCCTGCAAAACCACGCCGGCTGCTGACTGCTGTGCGAGTCGACACAAGAAATGTGCTGCCACTAGAACGAAGCGCTGAGCTGCCCACACACGCCGCTGTAGACGCTTCCTTGCTCCTCCTTCATGGCACGTACATGCATGTCCTGTCGCCCCTCTCCCTCTCACATCTCACTCTCACTCTCACTCTCACTGCTCACTCTCTCACTCTCTCACTCTCGTCTCTCTCTCTCTCCTCTCTCTCTCTCTCTCTCTCTCTCTCTCTCTCTCTCTCTCTCCATCTCTCTCTCTCTCTCTCTCTCTCTCTCTCTCTCTCTCTCTCTCTCTCTCTCGTCTCCCTCTCTCTCTCTCTCTCTACTCTCTCTCTCTCTTCTCTCTCTCTCTCTCTCGTCTTCCTCTCTCTCTCTCTCTCTCTGATTCGCTCTCTCCCAGTACAAATTCACCACATGGTAATGCAAAGCATGCTAACTGTGGGTAGCATCTGCACGGCAAAAATTATCAGCAAGAACTTCGTCCAGGCACTGCGACGCACCACCAGCACCTTCACATGTACATGCTCATCCAGCTTCGTCCCACACCCTACACCTCCACGATCTCCCCACACACCACCTCCACCATCTCCACCCACACACCACCCTCCACCATCTCCCCACACACCACCCTCCACCATCTCCCACACACCACCCTCCACCATCTCCCACACACCACCCTCCACCATCTCCCACACACCACCCTCACCCATCCTCCCACCACCACCCATCCACATCTCACCACAGGCACCACGCCTCCACAGTCTCCCCAGCACACCACCTGCACGCTCTCCAACACCACCCTCCACCATCTCCAACCACCACCCTCCACCATCCTCCTACACACTCACCTCCCCGATCTCCCACACAGCCAACCCTCACCATCTCCCCCACACACGCACCCGTCATCATCTCCTATCACCACACACCTGCCACCATCTCCCGACACGACCACCCTCCACCATCTCCCACATACCACCCACTCCCCAGTCTCGCCAACCGACCACCTTCATCATCTCCCATCACCACCACCCTCGCACCATATCCCACACACCACCCTCCACCATCTCGCACACACACCCTCCACCATTCCCACACACACCCTTCATCATCTCCCACACACCACGCTCCACCATTCCCACACACCACCCTCCACCAGTCTCCCCACACACCCCCTTCATGCATCTCCCACACCACCGCCCTCCACCATCTCCTACAACACCACCCCCACCATCTCCCACACACCACTAACGTCATCATCTCCTCAACATCACCCTCCACCATCTCCCCACACACGCAACCCCGTTCATGCAGTCTCCCACCACACCACCTCCACATCTCCCCACATACCAGCCTCCCCATCTCCCACACACCATCCCCACCCATCTCCCAACACCACCTCCACAATCTCCCCAACACACACCTCACCATCTCCCAGCACACACCACCCTTAGTCATCTCCCGGACACACCACCGCTACCACCATCATCCCACACACCACCCTGAACCAATCATCTCCACACACCCCCCCCCCCCCCCCCCCCCCCCCCCCCCCCCCCCCCCCAAACCCCCGCCCCCCCCCCCCCCCCCCCCCCCCCCCCCCCCCCCCCCCTCACCACCTCCACCATCTCCACACACACGCCTCACGCATCTCCATTTCCACCACCCGTCCACCAATCTCCCACACACCACTAAACCATCATCTCCCCACACAACACCCTCCACCATCTCCCACTCAACACCATCTTCCTACACACCACCCTCCACCATCTCCCCACACACCACCCTTCATCATCTCCCCACACAACACCCTCCACCATCTCCCACTCAACACCATCTTCCTACACATCACCCTCCACCACCTCCCCAATGTACCCGACCATCACTCCAACACGGCAAAAATGCAAATGTACCCGGCGGCAGCTGCAACCTCGGCATAGCGAATTTGGCGCTGCCTGCCTAATGGGGTTACAATGTTCATCTCAATACACTAGCAGCTCACTGCCCCGTTCTCGGAGAAAAATCAATTTCAGGCAAACATGTGTTGCGCGCTCTACGTGCGCGCTAGCGCAGCACAGCCGGTAAAAACACAGCAACGGCTGATGTGTGGGGAGGTGACGGGCAATGCTGATGGAGAGGTGAATGGGAAGAGAGAAAGTTGAAGTGGGCGAGATGGCGCGCAAATGAAAGAGACAGGGCGAGAGAGCGAGGGTGAGAAACGTCAAGTTAGAGAGTCAGGGTGGTACAGGGGGCGCGCGAGAGAATATGTGCGTGTGCCTGCGCATGCACGAGTATGTAGGCGAAAGAGTTCTAAACGAGTGAAAGAAACAGTGCGATAGAAATACGAGCAATTACGGGAGACAGGGTCATAGAAAGGGAGTGTGGGAGAGACTGAAAAGAAGAAATGAAGGAAAGGTAGGAAATCAAAGGAGACACAGAGAGAAGAGACAAAGTCGATAGAGAAGCCATGCGCGGCAATAAGAACGCAAACCTCACAGAGAGACAGACACATTCATACAGCATTGATTCTCAAATACGAATATCTGTCATCGGGCGGGCGCGCTCTAATATTTGAGCAGTGGCCGTGAATTAATCTCAGCTCACATGAATAGTTTCTGTCATGTCGACAACTCGCTGTGATTCATCGCTCGTGCATATCGAGCGATGTCCACGCGACGACGCCACCTTTTTTAATAAATACCTAAAAGCTTTATGGATTGCCAACACGCTCTTCCACGCGCACGGGGAAGAGACTGATTCTCTTTCGCTGATAGAAACCGACGACACAAACCACCGCATGATGACAATCTATTTTCACCCCCAGAAAGAATACGTGCGTTCACATCCACGCAAAGAGCCAAGGGCTTTGTGGTGTGTGTCGCGGTGACGGGGTTAGGGCGATGCTATGGTGGGAGGAAGGAGTAAGCAGTGAGGTAGTTACAGTGTAGCTATGGTAGGAGGAAGGAGTAAGCAGTGAGGTAGTTACAGTGTAGCTATGGTGGGAGGAAGGAGTAAGCACTGAGGTAGCTACAGTGTAGCTATGGTGGGAGGAAGGAGTAAGCAGTGAGGTAGTTACAGTGTAGCTATGGTGGGAGGAAGGAGTAAGCAGTGAGGTAGTTACAGTGTAGCTATGGTGGGAGGAAGGAGTAAGCAGTGAGGTAGTTACAGTGTAGCTATGGTGGGAGGAGTAAGCAGTGAGGTAGTTACAGTGTAGCTATGGTGGGAGGAGTAAGCAGTGAGGTAGTTACAGTGTAGCTATGGTGGGAGGACAAGGAGTAAGCAGTGAGGTATTACAGGTGTAGGCTATGGTGGAAGGAAGGTGTAAGTAGTGAGGTAGTTACAGTGTAGCTATGGTGGGAGAAGGAAGTAAGAGTGAGGTAAAGTTAGTGTAGCTATGGTGGGAGGAGGTGTAAGCTGTGAGGTGGTTAAAGGTCATGAAGGGACGGGGTTAGGGTGTGGCTACTGCTAGGGTGTGGTTTGGAGGGAGTGCCTCTGTACTTACGTCGACATCACTGCCCGTGTACTGGCCACCCCCGTCGTACGATCCCACCGACTGCCGTGGATCCTCCATCCCGGGCTTAAATGCCTGCAACATCACCAACAAACATAAACACATTTACCGCATATATATATATATATCATGATGAGGAAAGCGTGGACCTGACATGAAGGGAGATAGCCAAACATAGGGAGAGATAGCCTTGAGCATGGGGAGACATAGCCAAATAGGGAGAGAGTAGCCTGACATGGGAGAGATAGCGCTGACATAGGAGAGATAGTCTGACATGGGGAGAGATAGCCTGAGCATGGCGAGACATAGCCAAACAAGGGAGAAAATAAGCCAGACATGGGGAGAGATAGTGCTGACCACATGGGGAGAGATAGCCTGACATGGGGAGAGATAGTCTTGACATGGGAGAGGATAGCCAGATCATGGGAGAGATAGCTGACATGGGAGAGATAGCCTGACATGGGGAAGATAGCCTGACATGGGGAGAGATAGCCAGGACATGGGGAGAGACAGCCAAACTAGGGAGAGATAGCATGACATGGGGAGAGATAGCCCAAACATAGGGAGAGATAGCATGACAATGGGGAGAGTGAGCCAACATAGGGAGAGATAGCATGACATGGGGGAGAGATAGCCTGCACATGGGGAGAGATAGCCCAGGACGATGGGGAGAAGATAGGCCAGAACATGGAGGGAATAGGCCAGACATGGGGAGAGATAGTGCCGTGACATGGGAGAGATAGGCCAGACATGGCGAGGGATAGCAGACATGGGGAGAGATAGCCAGACATGGGGATGAGGATAGCCAGACATGGGGAGAGATAGCTGACATGGAGAGATAGCCTGACATGGGGAAGAGATAGCCAGACATGGCAAGGGATAGCCTGACATGGGGGAAATAGCCAGAACATGGGAGACATAGCCTAAACATAGGGAGAGATAGCATGAACATGGGAGCAAGATCGCCAAACATAGGGAGAGATAGCATGACATGGGGAGAGATAAGCCAACATAGGGAGATATAGCAATGACAGGGGAGAGATAGCATGACATGGGGACGAGATAGGCTGACATGGGGAGAGATAGCCAGACATGGGGAGAGATAGCGTGACATGGGGAAGAGATAGCCTGAACATGGGGGAGAGATCGCCAAACATGGGGAGAGATACTGACTGGGAGGATAGCCGACATGGGGAGAGATAGCCAGACATGGAGAGAGATTAGCCAGACATGACGAGGAGAAGCGCTGACATGGGAGAGATAGCTGACATGGGAGAGAATGCCAGACATCGGGGGAGAGATACCAGACATGGGCGAGAAATAGCGGCTGAATGGGAAGAGATAGGCAGACATGAAGGAGATAGCCTACTGGGGAGAAATAGCCCTGACATGGGAGAGATAGCCCCCTGACATGAAGGGAGATAGCCTGACAATGGGGAGGAGACGCAGACATGAGGGAGATAGCAGACATGGGGAGAAATAGCCTGACATGGGGAGGAGATACCAGACATGAAGGAGATAGCCTGAGCATGGAGAAATAGCCTGCATGGGAGAGATAGACTACATGAAGGGAGATAGCGCTGACATGGGGGAGAAATAGCCTGACATGGGGAGAGATAGGGTGACTGAGGGAAGATAGCCTGACATGGGGAAGAGATACTGACATGGGGAAGGATGCGCTGACATGGGGAGAGATAGCGCAGAATGGGAAGGAGAGATAGCAGACATGAGAGAGATAGCTAGACATGAGAGGAGTAGCCTGATCATGGAAAAAAAACAAAAGAACAGCTAGACCTGGACAAAGAAATCGGCTACAGTGCGGGAGAGATAGTCTCGAATGGGGAGAGATTAGCCAGACATGGGGAGAGATGCTGAATGGGGAGAGCTAGTCTGAC